TTGGAAGGTAACCGACGAGGAGAACCTGAGTGATCACCGCACCATTGAGTTCTGCGTATCGACACTGGCTCCCCCAAAAGTGGAGAATAAAAACACAACACGTTGGGAAATATCGGAAAGCACGTGGGCGAAGTTTCTTAAAGCGTGCAAGGAAAACCCCCTACGGATCACACAGGGAGGAACCCCGGAAACCTTAATGAAAGATATATCCACACTATGCGATAAATTCTTCAATAAGAAATGCCCAACGCGACCCGGACGACAAGCGGTCTACTGGTGGAACGGCGAAATCCGCGACGCCAGGAAGGCGTGTGTAGCTGCCAGAAGGGCAATGGTAAGGAATAACCGAAAAAATCTCAGAACACAGGCAGACGGGATTAACCTCAGGGAGCTGTACAAGTCAAGGAAGAAAGTCCTAAAAAAAGCTATCCAAAAGGCGAAGACCGGCGCATGGAAGACCCTCATAGGAGAACTCGACAATGACATCTGGGGGAAGGCATACCAAATAGCCACCGGGAGGATGAGGAGGCGGCAATATACGAGGGTAGAAGACGACCAGCTGGAGGGCATCATTGCGGACCTCTTCCCGACGCACGAGACCAAAAACTGGAAAAGAACATTAACCAAACCAGCAGACGTGAGACCAATAACACCAGAAGAGGTCATAGCCGCTGCAAGAAGAGTAAAGGACAGAAAAGCACCAGGACCGGACGGAATCCCGCCCAAAGCAATAAAATACATCTTTACGGAGTGCGCCGAAGAGGTTGCGCCAATCCTAGACCAATGCCTCCAGACGGGAAGATACCCGGAGGTTTGGAAAAGGGCCACGCTGGTCCTTATCCAGAAACCCGCAAAGGCGACGGAATCGACCCCTAAATACCGCCCGATTTGCTTATTGGATGTGGCGGGGAAAGTCCTGGAGAGTATCTTAAAAAATCGAATTGAGGCAGAAATACAGGCAATGGGAGCGCTAAGTGAAAACCAGTTTGGATTCCGCAAGGGCAGGACCACCATGGACGCAATTCAGAAAGCCCTCGAAATGGCGACGAATATCATGGGGAAGGCGTCGAAGAACAGGGAGCTGTGCATCATGGTAACCCTGGACATAAAAAACGCTTTTAATTCGGCACCCTGGAGCGGCATTATCGAGGCACTACAAAATGCGAAAATCAGCGACTACCTATTAGACATCGTGAAATCCTACTTGGATAAGAGATTTATCATAGCTCAAGACGGGAGGCTGAGATCGGTGACGAGCGGAGTTCCACAGGGTTCGATTCTCGGACCGACCCTGTGGAACATCTTCTACGATAGGGTCCTTAGACTGGACATGGGCCCAGACATAGTGAGCGTGGCTTACGCAGACGACCTAGCTCTCGTAGCCAAAGGGAGAGACACGAAAAGTTTACAGGACACCTTGAAGTATGGCCTACATAGAGTCGCGGCAGAGCTGAAAGGAATGCAAATTGATATCGCGTGGGAGAAAACGGAGATGACTCTCCTCTACGGCGGCAGGAAGGTAAAGGAGATGGAGGTGAGCTTCCAAGAGACGACCCTGGTAACATCGCCATATCTTAAATACATGGGCGTGTACATAGATAGAAACCTGCGCATGACGGAACATGTGCGCCAAGCAGTCAAAAAGGGGAACGCACAATTGGCTCAGCTAACCAAGATCACACCAAACGTAAAGGGCCCAAAACCGGAAAAGCGGAAAATGCTAGCCTGTGTAGTACTCTCGACTGTACTATACGGTGCATCGATCTGGGCAAAGGCGCTGAAGTACGCGCACTACCAGAAACTTTTAGAAAGAGTCAATAGGAAGCTAGCTCTGCGGGTTATAATGGGCTACAGGACGATATCGACAGGCTGTGCACTAGCTATTGCAGGGATGCCCCCGATAAAATATCTCATCAGGGAAAGGCAAGACGCCAACCTAAAAATCCGAACCGGGAGAGCCGCGCGGCAGGAAACCCTCAGGCAGTGGCAGAAGGAGTGGGAGGAATCAGGTACAAACTGGACAAAGACGTTCATCCCAGATGTGGAGCGTTGGGCCAACAGGAAATGGGGAAGCCTGACGTACGAGGCCACGCAGGCTCTCTCGGGGCACGGCAACTTCAGCTACTATCTGGCCAAATTTAAAAAGAGAGAGACCAGCGCGTGCGCTTACTGTGGCGCCGAAGACACGCCAAGACACACCATCTTTGAATGCGTGAGGTGGGAGGAAGCAAGATTGAAGGCTGGTATAGAGTGCGGTACAAACATAACTGTGGAGAACGTGGCACAAGTAATGATGAGCAACGAAAGTGGGTGGAAGGTAGTCATTAACATGATAACAGATATACTAAAAAGGAAAGTTGACAGATAAAAGGAGCCATACTACCGCCTACCTTGAAGTAATGTCGGCCGACGGTTCCAAGGTAGAGCGCAGAGCGTAAATTGGGGAAGGGTTTTAGTGGGTGAAAGTCCCACACTATCTCCACAATAGAACCGCGACGTGGAGGTGTCCGGAAAGGATTTCCCAATCCCAAAAAAAAAAAAAAAAAAAAAAATTTTTGCAATAAATTCCTAAACTATGAACTCTTTTGACGCATGTTTTCTGGATTTTTTAAACATATATTAATGGACAAAATATCAGTTTATATTGTATGGAAACTATGCTCTGTACATCTATCTACCTAATGCATATTTTTCCGATCATATACACCCCTTGCTTATGGAATGGTGAATGAAGTTCAGAGGCAATGCACGCCCCATTGAATTACATGTGCATCACCAGTTGCCTATACTCTCTAAATCCAAACCTTAATTTCGCCCCTAGGACAAAAAACAAAATTCCGCCACGCAGGAGTTGTGCGCGTTTACAACATCTTTCCGATGACACCAATTTGAAAAGAATCGGACCAAAACTGTAGTAGAAGATAGGAAAAAACTGAAAAACCTTCACGTTAGTATACTACGCTCGAGGATGACGCCCAGATGTCGCCAACCCCACATCATGTAGCCATGTCCCTAAGGTTGACAAATTTCACGGCCTTGTAGATACACGTACACCCGTTGCCTTTCTACAAGAGTTCTTCTACGCGCCCACATTTGCAGCCAGCCAGCCAGCCAGCCAAAGTGAGATTAAAAGCTACTTTTTAGCACATTTTTGCAAATTTATTTTTAAAAAGTAGCTTTTAATCTCACTTTGGCTGGCTGGCTGGCTGGATGGCTGGCTGGCTGGCTGGCTGGCTGGCTGATCGGCTGGCTGGCAGCAAATGTGAGCGCGTAGAAGAACTCTTGTAGAAAGGCAACGAGTGTACGTGTATCTACAAGGCCTTGTAATTTGTAAACCTTGGGGACAGGGCTACATGATGTGGGGTTGGCGACATCTGGGCGTCGTCCTCGAGCGTAGTATACTAACGTGAAGGTTTTTCAGTTTTTTCCTATCTTCTACTACAGTTTTGGTCCGATTCTTTTCAAATTGGTGTCGTCGGAAAGATGTTGTATACGCGCACAACTCCTGCGTGGCGGAATTTTGTTTTTTGGCCTAGGGGCGAAATTAACGACCTTTTGCATGGTGCGCGCGCGCGTCTTCGAAAGGTAGTCAACTTCGGGCACCTTTTACCTTATGTTGCGAATTCTGTCACGCGTTTTAACGTTTCGTAAATCTCGAATGGCTGTCTCTCTTTCTCGTGTCACCAATAGAAGCTCGAGCAATGAGAAGTGCCCCCCAAAATTTAAGTACTATCTTGTGGAAGGTTTTTAGCGAGATCCACCAAAATGTGGGTGTAATATAAGTATGCACCGAAAAAGGAAATGTGGTAGCCTCCGACAAGATCTAACTGATGGTGGAGAAAAATCTTCAAACGCGAATTGCGGGTGAACGGGACGTCGGAAGTGGGTACCGTCAAAGGGAATGTGGTACTGGTAGCCCCCGACATGATCTTACTGATGGTGGAATCAAATCTTCAAACGCGAATTGCGGGTGAACGGGACGTCGGAAGTGGGTACCGTCAAAGGGAATGTGGTAGCCCCCAACACGATCTTACTGATGGTGGAGTTAAATCTTCAAACGCGAATTGCGGGTGAACGGGACATCGGAAGTGGGTACCGTCAAAGGGAATGTGGTATCCTTCGACCAGATCTTTTATTCATGGTTGAGTCAACAGTGGCTAATAGAATACTGATCTGCCACACAAAAATGCGCTGAAGTCCCTTCGATCTCACACGAGGACTTTGATAATTTTTACAAATAAATTTGCAAAAATGCGCTAAAAATGAATTGTTTACACGTGATAGCAATTTGTTGTAAACGTCTTCACTCATCCGTAAATAGCTATGATAATTCGAAGGATCTGAACACAGTTCTTTCAATAAGTGTGTATGAGCATACTCACTTTTTTTTAAAGCTAGTTTTTACACCACGTTCTGCGTTTTCGTCTGTTTTGTACTGTTTATAACCACTAACAAACCCAGCAAAGCAATCACGTCATATTGTGGACTCACCATTTCTCGACTATAGAGAAATCCTTCACCTATCCGTTTTACCGTAGTATGTGTGAGCTCTCGCCTATACAGGTATACCGGATAGATAAACCTGCGCAAGTACACCTCTCCGGTCCACCGCAACGTGTATGGCCGGCCTTATTTTCTTTGCATTCCGTTTAGAAATGGCTTGGTGGGATTGTGAAAATGTATTGGACGAAAATGTTGCGTTTGTGTTTGATGCGATCTAATTTTTACTCGTTTTTGGCTATTAACAGAAGATCATCTTCAGAGATCATGGCTACAGCCCTGTTTTGTTCACACACACTACTCTTAAAAATTGACAAAAACCACGCGAATAAAACATAAAATACTTATATGGCTAAACCGAGAGTACAGGTTTAGCCTTCGGGTTTGCAAATCGAAGGGCCTACCTTCCGGTAAACAGCATCGTGGATGGCGACCTAAAGATGTAGGTTTTATGATTTGTAATAGATCACATAAACTGCAGTTCAAACAATATTAGAAGTTCAAATGTACCTACATCGCCATAACCTCAATTCTTCATTTTAATAGTGAATAAAAAGTTGTAATTTTTTTATGCTTTTAGTTGAAAAGGTTCATTATTCACTAAATAAGCAAAAATGTCTGCGGCAATGATTACAGCCGACTGGTTCCTACTAGGAAGGGATTTATATTTTCGGTATGAAATATCTCCTTGTGTGATGTAAAGACATGATTTCGCTTTTTTTAAGAAAATTTGAAGTGTACGCCATGGGTTGGCACCAGGATATAAATATGGATCAAGTTATAGCTGAAGCAGCTTCATATGGTGGCCCCATTGCTGTTAGACGTGACGAAACAAAGATTATAAAAGTGAGAGGAACGGGACATCAAGTTATCGAAATTTTTTCAGGCTCTGGGAAAAAAATTTCCTCTATTAAGGTATTTTTTATATATTAAATCTAATGGTAATGATCACAGTTTCATATACCTATTTTAGTGGACTAGAAAACCTATAGTAAAAATGGGTTGGTCTCTTGATGAAAAGTTTGTATGTGTACAAGATGATAGTCAAGTTATAATACACGATTTATTTGGCAATTTTATGCACGCTTTTACATTGTCCCAAGAAACACAGGATGCCAAGATAATTGATGCAAAGATTTTTATTAGTCCCCAAAATGTTACCGGTATTGCAGTTATGACCGCAAATTACAAGTTGTTTGTTTTTAATAACATTCTTGAGCCTAAAAAACGACAACTCTCGGAACTACCAAGTATAACAACTCGTAACGATAATGTTACTGAACTGTTTTCATACTTTTAAGGATCAAACATTCGTCCCACTGCATGGGCGGTTATCTCAGAAGAATGTGGAACCGAAGTGTTAATTGCTCGAGAAAAGGAGCTGTTTAGACTTAAGCAAGATGAATATCACACCACTACTATGGTATGTTTAATATTGTTACTGATTTTCTTTTACATTTAAAAAGTACCTACATTATTTTAGCTTCAACCAGATATCGCTCATGTGTATACATCAATAATTGAAATGGCCGTTTCCATAAATGCCAGACATGTGGCTTTATTTACAGATGCCGGATATATATGGCTGGGATCATCAAATCTTAGGTCAAAGTATTGTGAAATAGACACAAACTCTGTACGAAGACCGAAACAATTAGTTTGGTATATAAGTAAATATTTGATATTTTGTTACTTATCCTTAACGTAGGTGTGGAACAGAAGCTGTAGTTGCATTTTGGGAAAAAGAACCTAAGGAGACAACTCTTATAGTTTTAGGACGTCACGGAGAAATGGTTACCTATCCGTATGATGGGTCAATTGCTTTAATACCTGAAATTGATGGTGTACGAGTTTTGTCTGCATTTCAACATGAGCTAATTCAGAAGGTTCCTGATGTGGTGCAAAAAATTTTCAGAATTAACAGTACAGAACCGGGAAGCTTTCTGTTAGAAGCTTCTAAACAGTTTCAGGTAACCTATATTTTATCCCAGCAACCATTTATTAAAAGGTCATTGTTGCCACTGTAACATACTCCCTGCACTATATAGTAGTCCAGCAGCCACCGCACGTTTTATTGAGTGATCTTTGTGAGTAGGTTAGTACACCCAAGTTATTGCTCTGTGAAAATTCTCGATACATGAAAAACTCTCTTCAACCCAACCTACTCGCGAAGATTCAGCCTGTTATTAATCACTGAAAAAAAAAACAGGTGGTGGCTGTTGCACTATAAATGTAATGCGTTAAAAATGGCAAACAGCACTGGCCCAGTTCAGAAATATCTATCCCTTATTAGCTAACCAAGTGATGGTTGATTTGTACAGACTGGTTCAAATTCGTGGCTCACCATTGGGATATCTGTATCTGACACATTTGATTTTGACATTTTTCTTGTAAAAAAGTATAGAATGCTTAGACCATATAGTACATGGACTGCTAATTGTAACTAAAATATGGTCAAGGACATCGCCTGGGTATGTGAGTTTCAGGGTAAACGAGTCTGTTCGAAGTTGTCCGATGAGACACGATTTGAGACTGTCAACCTATAAATTCACAAACGTCAATTAATTAATCGCCTAGATATCCCAAAAAAAGCAAACTTATTCTTATGTGTGAACGTATAGCAAATAATGAAGAGTATATAAAAGCTTCCCGTACTACGCGGTTACTAAAAAGCTGCTCTTTACGCGATCCGAGTGGTGTTCATACGACCTTAGTTTACCCTGAGATTCAGATACCCACGACTACAGTGCCCTCTATCCGTGACCACCCATTTTGTATTGAAAGCATAGGGCTAATAGCAGTCCATGTACTATATGGTCTAAGATAGAATGTGACATTTCAATTTTTTTCTCTTTTTTTCCCTATCTCATTCCTTAAAAATCCAATATGGCGCCCATAAGAAATAAGAGAGTTCATCTAGCGTACTATGTAAATTCTGATAACGGATTCGGGAAAAAAGTGCCCATATAAGTAAGGTGCTAATGAGAACCGTCCAGTTCCACCATTTCAGATAGGGAAAATGATAAAGAAATTTGACATTTTATTTTTCTGTGATATCTAAGTTATATTCAAAGATTTTTCAACCATTTCAAAAGTGTTTTTTTTTAGTCACAAAAGGGGCAACATTTAGCCTACGCTGTATCTCTCACCGTTGCAAAGTTCCTAATGGTGAGCCATGAATTTGAACCACCCTGTACATTGCCATGACTTTATATTGACACAAGGCCACATATGCCCCATATGGGAAATAGAATTAGAATGCATTCCCAGTTTATAGCATGGCCTAATAAGAGTATGGTCTGCTATTGCGCATAGTGCATTAGTCGGCTGGCGTTGATGTGACGTCACGCGGTTGTAAAACGAACTGGTGCCGGCAAGACTCCCATAAGAGTAAGTAAGAAAGCCCAACAATTATGGTGAAAAGTTTTCATTCATAAAGTGCTTACACCTAATTAGAGCTTATCTGCATATATATATATATACGTAACAAACTATGTTGTATTACAAAAACAAAGTAGAAAATCATTAGGATTTAATGTAAAATATGTACAAAACATCAATTCAGACTGTTTAACTTTAAAATGTGGTAGGTGTTGTGGATACGGGTGAAAGTAAAATAAATACAACTACAATATAATTTATTTTAGAATCAAAAATGAATCTTAAGAATCGCTGAACCGAACTCGACTTATCTTAACAAGTGTTGTGTACCTACTGTCCGAAACTACCGATTGTGTAACACATGTGCAACAAAGTACATTTCGGATGACTCCCAAGAAGTCATGAATTTTATGAAAGCTTCTATTCCTTAACTCGTAAATAACACCCTTGTCGGTTAAAAAATAGACCCTTAATATTTAAACTACTTGTCGGTCCAGCGTGTTATGCACATTTGTGCAACGTAATTACTAGAAGTTAATTCCGGAAATTTCGTCCGCTACAAAAACATGAGGTTTTTCATTGGTTACTAATTGTTCGTCTTTCTGCAGAAGTTTCACAGTTTCTCATTTTTTTTATTTAGTTTCCGAATTCTTATATACGTCCTTACTCCAAAGTTCAAAGAGTAGTGTTATATTATATGCTCTTTGCTTTAACTAAGTGGTCGAAAGCGTCGTTAGGTATCAATGTCTTATCACATGATGCATTAAGTTTATTACTTTTCAATAACAGCAAAATAATTTGTTGGCTTTGTTAAATCCCGTTCAGATATAAAATAATCCAATTATCGCCTATTTCAAATTCGGCGATTTCGCCTAAGAATCGGTATTTCGTTTTTAATTTGTATGCAACGTAAGCAGTCATATAAGGCGAACCTTCTTTATGAATGTTCGTTGTTTCTTGACCACGAGCAAAATGAAGGTAGGTATTTCAGCAATACCTTCTTGCAATGTTGGCCCGTTAAACAAGTAGGTATTAATTTCCGTCAAGTTTTCTAATGGCTGAGCAAAGCAGCATTCGCCGGCCCTTTGGAAGGTATATTTACCAACAAATCTTGGTGTCAAAACATATTCCGTATCGTACCTATCTACCTATTTATTAGGTCGTTATACAAATCTATTAACGATCGGTTAGATTGTTGAGTGAAGGTGTAGCCATCGATCAGATGCCGATACAATTATACCCCGCTGAGAAGCAACCTATTTTAGAAATCTATAATAACTTGTATTTAGTTTTTTTTATTGTTATTATTGCAACCATACACCACACAATGGACCATTGTAATAAAGTAATATAGCTATATAATCGTATTTATCACATATGCAATGGAATATCGAAATATTAGCACATAATTATTCATATGTGCGTGTACAATATTTCCAGTGCCGGATTTAGAGGGGGCTATGGGACTATTAGCCCCCGGCGGTAAATTTTGAGAGGCGGTACGTCGTCGCTTCCATCACCACAATTCTAATTGTAGATATTTAATTTATGGGGTTCAGTTTCTGAAATATCATGGTAATAAAACTTGCAGGTCTCTTCACCTATAAAATCGATGCCGGTCTCGCGTTGCCGGCGGTAGCAGGTCGTTGGACGCACAAAAGCACTAGCAAAAACACGTTTCATGTTTTCGGGAAATCTACACTTTGCTGACAAAGGACAAAGGGTGGCCCCATCATCCGTTATTTACCTCTATTTTCCATTGACTATATTGTCGGGCGCACATTTACTTGTTAAACCCTTATTACAAACAATTATTAAGCGGCAGAGCAAAGCGATGTAAGCTTTATAGGGGAGTCGATGGTGTCCATCTGTCCGTTGGTGAACACGATAACTGCCAAAGGCTTGGACCGATTCAGTTCAAACTTTGCACAGTTGACCTACATGCCGCATGTAACAAGCCTATTGAAAATGGGTGAAATCCAATGATTCCGTAGGGTCAAACCGAGGTGCTCTGCCGCTTTTTAGCGCATTTTTGAAAAAAAAATACGTTATTATGTTCGTTATGGCTGGCTGGCTGAGATCTCAGCAATTGCAATTGCTAGACTTTATATTTTCACTAAAAGCTTTCTGATGTAGTATAGATTTGCTAATAAAACACTGATCTGCATTACCAAAAATGCGCTTTCATCATGCATAATATGCTAATTTACAACTTGTTTAGATCCGCTCTAGGGGTTTATTTAAGCTTAAGTTTTGTTGTGTCTCAGAGCCAGTCGCCAGCGTGTCCGACTGGTACGCCGTGTCGTCAATCCTGTTAAGTCATTACGCATCAGCGCAGAAAATGGTATTTATTAGTGGAGTGTTTTCGTGAAGTTTCTAAAAAATGAGCGGAAAAGAAGGAGGTGCATTTTGGAAACGACAAAAGTTAGAAAAACAACAAACATTAAATGAAGTATTACAAAAAAACCAAGATTCAGCTTTTTTCCCTACCTACTGGCGGTATAGTATGACCCCGGCGGTCTATGAACTAAATCCGGCACTGAATATTTCAGTGTATACAACCGCGTGACGTCATGCGCGACTAGTGCGAGATTTCGTTCACGGGAAAGCAGACCATACTCTTATTAGGCCATGGTTTATAGCACAGTTGCAATTGAAATGTGAAATTATAAGCAGTATAAAAAATAAAAAATTTAATATTTTGCCAGACAGGTATACCGGGTGGTGCCTAGCGCGACGCAGCATAGGGATTTCAATGGTAATTTCTTTATAGTCAATTACTAGGTCCCCTAATTATTTTAGAGCAAAAGTCTAAATACGTTTTTTTTTAGAGAAAAAAATACTGCATCTGGTCATACTATTACTTATAATTTTCCGATTTTCAAAACCGTAGAAATCGACAAAATAAAAAGGTTCATTTTACAATAAATTAAATATGCCTTGGAATTACCTAAAAAATGATCAAAGTCCTCGTGTGAGATCGAAGGGACTTCAGCGCATTTTTGTGTGGCAGATCAGTGTTTTATTAGCCAATATTGACTCCACCATCAATAAGATCTTGACGAAAGCTACCACGTTCACTTTGTCGGTACCATTTTCTCACTTACCGTGCACTCGCAATTCGCGTTTGAAGTTTTGACTCCACCATCAGTAAGATCTCGTCGGGGGTTACCACATTCCCTTTGTTGATACACAGTTCCGACGTCCCGTTCATTGGTAATTCACATTTTGGTAGATTTCGCTAAAATCCCGGCATAAAATCGTATTCAACTTTTGGGTACTTCACATAGCTCGACCTTCTATTAGTGACACGAGAAAGAGAGACCGCGATTCGCGCTGTAAGAAACTTTTGGGCGCCCAAAGTCGACTACCCCTCGAAGCGCGCCGCGCAAAAGGTGGTTTATTTCGCCCCTAGGAAAAACAAACAAAATTCCGCCACGCAGGAGTTGTGCGCATTGACAAGATCTTCCCGACGACACCAATTTGAAAACAATCGGAGAAAAACTGTAGAAGAAGATAGATAAAAACTGAAAAATCTCCAGGTTAGTATAATACGCTCGGTGATGGCGTCCAGATGTCGTCGACTCCA